TGTTGTTGATGTTTTCTGAACCACATATAATCATTTATTATATATTCTTTGGTCCACCCTGGAAGAACTCGTGTGGTGATTTACCCGATGGAAATATTATCGAGTGCTGGTCCAGGAATGTGGAATGCTCTTGCATTTGCGCAAGACATGATTGAAGCTGGTAGGCAGCGTATCTGACGAGGAAGAAGTCTGATCGGATAGCTGTCCTGGTTCTAGGGTACATATAATGTACAGGTCTTGTTGAGTATATTCTGAGTAAAGTTATGTTGAATTTTAAGTGTACACAAATTTGAGTATGTCTTTCGGTTTATGAGATTGTGTATCGGCATCAGGTTGTATTTCAGTCGTCGCAAACAAAAGGGTTCGAGCTTAAACTGCTGACAGCACTCTTGATAATTAGAGGTGTTTGATTTACTGAACAAGCGCTTAGTGAATGATCCTTGAAAGTTTTCTAATGATTTCCTGTCACCCATACGCATATTCCTATAGATGATGCTGCAGTATTCAGACAGGAAATGTAAGTATTTTGAAAAGCTCGAGTCTGACAGGGGTTATATAGATTTTATGGCATATGTTAGCCACATATCGTTTGGCATGTGCGATATGATACTAAGCTTGCTCTGAGAAACTAAAGTATGAAGCTTAAATCAAAGTTGCATAGTTTCACACAGATACATTTATTGTTCAGTTTAACAGACTCTTCAGGGATTAAACATCTGTGTGACATAATGCATAATTTACTAGCGGAGAAATTTAACATCCATGTGTTGCACCATTTCTCAAATGAATCGAGGTCTTCTTGAACGAACTGCATTGCGCTATTGAGTTCCTCTCGTCGAAATTGATAAGCAAACTTTATGTCATCGGCGAACAAAAATGGCTTGTCATGTTTTATGAACACGGTGATATCGTTAGCATAAAGTAGGAAAAGGGAAGGACCAAGTACACTCGCTTGGATGACACCACTAGTGATTGGACGTGAGGAGGAGTTATGATTACCCAGACTATCTGGTAACGCACATTTAGGTATGATGTCAACCAATCAAATAGTGGGTCTCTGATTCCAAACGACTCGATTCTTTTCAGTAGCCGCTTGTGGGGCACTCTGTCGAATGCATTCTGTATATCCAGGAACACTATTACAAATGCATATTTCTAATCAATGGCTTATGTGATGTAATCCAGGTAGTGCAAGAGACACGTTGTACAGGAACGTTTATCGAGGACCCCATGCTGGGAGTCGGTAAGTAGCCAATGACGATGGATAAAGTCCATGATTCCAATTTTAACTAAATTTTCGAGTACGTTAGCGATGATATGAGGATGATGGATAGGTGGATAATTAGTGACGTGCCGTGTGGGTCGCCCTTTATGACGAAGGACAATAAACGATGTTTTCCACTGATCCGGAGAGTAGCTAGATCCTAAGGACAAGGTGAACTTGTTCAGAAAAAGCAGTGGTATGTCAAGTTTACCGAGTTTAATAACTGATGGGGAGATGCCATCGGTGTCTGATTTGTGCGATGGTTTTATAGACTTCATAGCCCGTTTGATGGTGGAAAAAGAAATCTCGACATTATCTATGCTGCGTGCTGTAAGTTCTGGGCAGCAAGGTATAGGGTCGGTTTCTACGTTTATGGAAGCAGCGAAAAAAATGCTAAAATATTCAAAAATAGCAGGTGGGTCGTTAAGGTGGCGACCGACCTCATCAATAAGTTCTGTAAGCAAAGACATTCGATCATTAGTCCCATGACAGAGTAATTTGGCCAGTTCCTTTCCTTTGCATGTCATATGCAAGGCGTTCTCCTCCTCCTATTCAATCCGTTACATTTGCGAGTGCTTGATGCAGGCAATGGATTCATTTAGCTGTAATACTAGCGAGGTCTCTAGTTTTTTCTGAATTTCCCGAGTAGTTTTCTCGTTTTCAAGTCATTCAGAGGGTAGCTTAAATCATTAGGACAAGGAATGGCATGTGTATAATGTGGGACAAGTACAGTTATGGTGCGATTGATATGGTAGTAGAGATGTTCCACTGCAACGTGGAAGCTATTGGAGAGAAAAAACCCATCCCAGTTAGAGGACCGGATCTGTTTTCCGAAATGATCCCAGTCAATCCTTCGTATAGTATGCTGGGTACGTGAGTCGAGTTTGGTAATCATTTCCAAGTGGATGGAAAGGCGTAGCATCTTGTGGTCACTACCGGGAAGGTTGTTTAAGATGTCAATTTGTACGTCAGTAAACCCCAGGGTGAAGATTAAGTCCAGTATGTTGGCAGACCAAGTAGGTATGGTAACCCACCGAGTCCAACCCCCAACTCTGACAGTGGATAAGAAAGATCTGTGCAATGATAAGAATGTTTGTGGTGACCAAGTAATATTCCGTAGATTGAAATTATTAGCGATTATCTTTAGATCGTGTGGCAATACCGATGCGAAATCAAAAGCGGAGGAAATAATTGCGATAACCTTGGCTGTCGCTTTCGGAGGATTTTAGATGCAACCGAGTATTGTAGACGAGGCTACAGCGACTGATAGCCATAGAGAATCTGGGACATTGTTTAACTGTGGGTCATCAATGCACTCCTCTCAGAAGTTCCGATGGAGATATCCGATGCACACGCCGTTTTTTTCGTGCTGCGATCTTTTCGAAATAGATAGTAGTTAGGAATAGCTAAAGTAGCATTCAATGTATCAAGGGAGCACCATGTTTCGGTGACGAAGCTTACATGTGGTGTGCATAACTGAATAAGCATGCTTACAAAATGCAACTTGTTTTTATGGATCTTGCGTTAATTAGTATGTGAAAATGTAGTGTGCACAAGAACGTTTTTGTGGATACTTCAAAGGATTGTGAATCAGAAATGACAGGCAAAGAAGATAAATGAGGGGGTGGTGAAAATAAACCCATTGTTCCAAATCACACGGCGAACTGTGGCTCGTTATCCCACCCCAATCGTCGTACAAAACCCTACTCTCATCCTATTTGGTGGGAATCGCTTCCTTGGACGGAGGAACACAGGCCCACATGGTTCATCGGCCACCGACACTGTACCAGGTATGAGATGAAGCATCTACTTGCACCCTTATAACTTACGGTGCACAAACTGAAGCGCTATGGGCTGAAGGCACTGGGCTATACACGCATCTACACACTTGGGCAAGTGGGCGGAACACGCAAGGCTCAAAGTAATTGAGTAGCAACAACTTGTTTGTCTTTCAGAGGAGCTTCTTTGCCGTTCAACTTAATTCTAATGCCCAAGGGGATAATATGACCGAGAAATGGTATGGACACCCACCAAATCGCAGGCGATCTGCGCCACACCCAAGCGTTCTTCGGTAACCGAGGTCGTAAACTCGTCTGATATGCCTCGGGTTGATTTGGGATTGGTCACTCAACGAATGGCGCGCTTTGGAGCGTTTGCGCCCGTAGGATGAGATTTGATTGTGTCAATGACTATTCTGAAAGAGGTATGGATGAATCCGATTTCCTTGAGGAGGAGTTTGAAGGCGTTATGGATGTAAATAATTGAAAAAAGGCATAGCAGAGAGTTGGCTTGGCATTTTATACCAATAAGAATAATGACAGCGTGACATAATCCGGAGCAGGGAAAGATTCAAGAGGTCAATCCGGTGGAACGATGAGCATGGAACTATCCCAATGGATCCATGTAATGGGTCATTCACAAGCGAGGTAGTGATGATGTTGCTCTTGGCTTTAGTGATGATAGTTCGACGTTTTCGCTCAAAGTGAGTCCGCCTGCCAAAACTTCTCGGACTGGCCGGGTTAAGACGGCAGTCGATACTTCTGTTTATGCAATTCGTGGCCTTGACGATTTCTGGCGTCTCAGCAGTTAATTTTTGGTTTGTCATTCTTGCTCCTCTCCTAATGATTTCTATAATGACCCAGTCGACTGCGTGTCCCGAGTCCAGCGCACGTACCGTTACCACCGAATCCTTTAGTGAGGCCTTGTATTCAGGCTCAATTTTTGATGGATGCGAAAAGTACCTTTTTGTGTTCTGCTATCCTAGTTTGGTTAACGTCCTACTTTGCTCGCATAAGCAAGATTTCCCAGGAGGACCACTGTGGCTTCGAAAAAACCACCTCCTTCAAGAGTAACAGTTTAGGTAGTGTGTCAAACTGATTCCATCTGCAATCGTGTTGGGTGCTGCGAAACGTACGCGATATATTCGATGATACCGTATTGAAGCAAAATTCATTGGTGAGATGATGAGGTCAAGAAAACAACCAGATCGTACATAGTGTCGAAGAAGGTATCAAATAAAGCATTTACACGTGAATGGCTTAAAAGTTACTTTCTTTCACTCCCGCACTCCACAACCGACGGTTTGGTCCTTGTTTGGACTCATCAGGTAGAGATAGCTTGAGCTGGGATCGGAACGGCACATAGTGATTGGCGACTATCGCCATGATCCGCGAGCTTGACACAGCAGTAAGTAGTAGCTGACGGGTTTTGAAGTATGCGTCGCATGTGTGATTGCGACACGCAAACTCAACTGTGGACACCGTCGGCGTTGAAGTCAGCCTGTGGCATTTCGAACGACAAAACCGTTGATCATGTAATGCAGGATGGGATACAGTCCCAGTGATCGGAATGGTACAGGCTGATTTCAACGCCAAACGTGGCCAAAATTGAGACAGAGAGTGGGCACGCTAAAACTCGACAATAATTTACGCGTGAAGTTTTGACCTCAAGTCTGAGGTTTAGGGTGTTGATTTGAGACCAGTCGAGCAACAGCGACGGTAGTGTGGACACATTCTAGACAGTGGAAGTGAAACTAGCCTGTTAGTTTCTCAGTCGAAATAACACTTTCGAAACGGAATGTGGCAGAATGCTTCTAATTGAGAACGACGTGACAAGTCAAAGAGGGATAAAAGAGTGCAATCGAAAGAGCATAACCGAAGAAAAGACATAATGTTCCGCAAAATCCCAAAACAACAGACTACAATGGGCTTTAAAGCAGCGATCTAAGCCAACTTACCTTGCCATTCTGCGCGCCGCTCAGCTCCGATCAACGGACCTCGAACACACAAGGCAGTCAATTCAAACCACGGTTTCGGATAATCTCGCAACTCAAAACGCCAACAATCAACATTCAGAGTTGTTTCTCGATACCATAAGGTGCAAAAGTCGTTAGGGGACAAGTTCGGCCAAGGACTGTGGGGCGAGAAGGAATCAGGGTAAAATGAAAAAACAAGGGCAATCTGAACGAAATAATCAACAATCAACCAGCGTGAAGGGCCGGATTTAGACCACCGTGTGTATGGACAGTCAAACAAATTCCAAAATGCGTCATAAGTTACTACGAAGCAAACTTTTTCACTTCGAATGAGGGATCGCACTTGAAGTGCAGACATTTTTAAGTGCGCGTAGCCTAAATGCAACGCACCATATTCCATTCTGTTCTATGTAGGGCAGCATATGGCCAAAAAGGAGGAGTGGGAATAGGAATGTGCATGAGATATGACGAGTCTTATTTGGAAATAAATCGTGTTGGGAGTGAGGTTGTAATTCGCAACGGGAAGAAAACAGGAGTACTCCAAAAAGCGCTAAAACACTCCAGACTACAGGGACACGTGTCACACAAATAGCGTGGTACACTATTGTAAATGGCGCCACAATCATTGGTTCGACCTCAATTATTAACGCTTGGGAGGTGAGAAATAACCATCGCGCTTAAGCTAACAAAAGTAACAACTTAAGCGGTAAAGGACACTCTGAGGAGGCTCCCATAAAATACCGCAGAATGAAAAGTGAGTTAGGTGGCTGGTCACGGACGGACCACTACATGAATGGCAAGCTTGAACTAACTAGTCAAATTTGAAAACAAAATGGATGAAATGAAAGCGAAAGGTATGCTCCGAAGGAACAAAGACAAAACCTAGCGTATTGCTGTATTGGGCGACTATTCCATCAGGACTGACTGCAATTCCTCAAAGATATTTTTATAACAATGAGTAGTACCTGCAGTTATCTAGTTGGCGCATTCGGTGCAAAAGTTGGTCCGGATGAGTGGACTGTTCAGTGGGCACGGAATGTAGGCGAAAGTTGTCCAAAGTCCAGGTGAACAATTCGTTGATCAGAGGGAATTCTTGATGGAAATCATTCAGTCGAGCCCGATAATCCCTTGCACGCTGTTCCGCAGAACGAGCCGGACAAACAGGATGAACAATTTCTACGTTGGAACAGAGTTATTAATAATAGGAAACGGCGAGTGTCAGATACGAAGTACTGTTATGATATCGAGAAAAATCACTCACCTGATAGTTTTAGTCCAGATGTGTGTAGCTGCTTGGTAAGCGAAACCACTTGTTGTTCGTATCGCATTTGCTCAGCTAATAACACCTAGAGTTACACGCGAATGTTGGCGAAAAACGAATGCTTGTAAACAAGTAGCACAATAAACAACAGGATGGATTGGTAACGCAGATAAAAATAACGAATGAGTCGTCCTTGATGCGATAAGCGCATCTCTAAATTTACTGCTGTAAGCAGGTAATCAAGCAAAATCATCTCTGGCATTTGTGTCCCGGTAAGCTTAATGCTGGCAAAAGACCGGTCCGTCGGTCTCAACAATGAGAGAAGTTATGAGATTAGTGAAAGGCAGTTAGCAAACTAAGGCGAAACTGTCAGGCTTTCAAAGACCAATTGCATTGAAATGATTGTCATAAAGAAGTATCCAAACTGAATCGTTTTGAGGAGAAAGTAAAAATGTCAGCTGGTGAACTGGCTTGGCAAAGGTTGACAAGAGTCATTATCGTTGAATAAAAGAGCATAAAAATATGGATTACTGATGCGAACGATAAATAAATAGATATTCTATTCTCGACAGTGCGGGACATGTCTGAATAGGCATGATCATGGCGATACAACAAGGACTGGTAAAGGTAAAAGCGGTACAAGTTTATAAGTAACAAATGGATTCGTGCTTTTAGTATGTATGAATGCATGTAGCTAAGAACGAGTGCGGTTGTGTTTCTTAGGTTTGTGAAAGTGACGCCGTATTTATGATTGATTCCGGTCAGGCGTGAAAAGGACTGAAAAGAGACCTTCGTATTGGATGACCCACGTCAGTAGATTGTGTTAGATCATCCGGATACGTAAGAGGTAGTGACTTTAGTTAGTAGCGGGTCACATCCGCCACATCACAGTGTTGTAAAACGGAAAAAGAACGCTTGCCAGGCGAAAACCCACCATGTCCTGGAACACTGCCGCCGAACTATTCGCTGGAACAGGGTAAACCCGAACCACCAGGCTGGCACCACGGGAGGTTGTTCGGCTAGCCAGCATATAAGAACGTTTTGCCAGCTGCTTAATGCCGCGCAGTAACGAAAAGCCACATCACCAGCCGAAAATAAGTAATACCGATAGAGGATTCCGCTGCAAGGAGGCGAATGGTATGATCCAAAGGCAGTGGGTGTCCAGCCGCACTGCAATCGAATTAGGTCCGACAAAGATGCTCAGAAGTTAGCGCCATATATGCATGTGTTATTCTTCCCGAAAATGTTTAAGGCACGATGGAATGCTTTCGGCGCTGATGCTTTTGTGACTAATAATGAGGTTTTTGAGGGGTGAATGTCACGAATGTTCAACTAGTGTCTTCAGCCAATGCGGACAACAAGGGGCAACGTTCAACAGAGTGTATTATGTTGGACTCTGTATCGGTGTAGCTGTTCAACTACGAACAGCACGGTCCCGTGATCGCTTCGACCGAAAGAACTGTACAAGGTCTAACATCGACAGTTTATTTGTTGCTCTAATTCTGATGGATGCGGTGACCCGATTGTTTAAGGGTGTGCTAAAAATAGATAGGCTTTAAACTGTTCACTATCGGTTGCTGGATTTTCTAGATGGAGGAAATGGTAATCCCCTGTAATGAGGATATGGTAATAATTCGGATTCATCACGATAAGCAAAGTCGAAAATAATCCGTGGTCCATTTCAGGGGAGGATTTGGTAGGTAGGTAAATTACACACATAAGGCATATGTCATCGTCTTTTAGCTCTAGCGTGCACTAAAAACTAAGTATATGTGTTTGTGGATCGTGCATGAGCTCATAACGAATGAACACTCCGACTACCCTACTTGGTATGTCGTTCCGGAGAAGTGACATCTCGGGTAAAGTGATCTTAAGGTCAGTAATCTCACAACTCAGCCATGTTTCGGTGATCATTAGTATACTTCGAAGCTCGGAAGTTTGGCGATGACGGAGTTCGACCAACTTTCCATTAAGACATTATGCGTTAGTGTACAGGCAGGATAGTTTAAGGGTAAAGAAAATCGAATTAGTACGTGCTGAAGCAAGACTGGAAAAGTCAACAGCAGTACGCGAGTATGAAGTACTGACGTTTCACTGCGGCGCAACGGCCAACAGTCGCACGTAGGCTATGGATATTGCGAGGGTAGCCCGGTCCATATGCAGGCTCGAACTCGCGCACTCGGAGTACAAGGCAGGTTTGTGGTACTTAAACTTACGGGTCGGCGGAGATGGTGCCGACCGTTGAGGGAATGGCCACTAGCCACTTTTCTAAGTGTCGTTGGCCATAGAGATTCGCCTCGATTATATAAATGATTGCGGCTATCTTCGCCTTGATGGTCATAGGATTTACACGTATCCTGTCGAATGTTGGGGTTGACATTTGCCAACTCACTTCATAGTAATGTACAAGTGGACGTTTTACCGATTTAGTAGTCCCCGTGTTCATGTACCTATGTCTTTGACTAAATTGTATTAGGCAGCGTCATGCGAAATTTAGAACAGTCATTACCTTTGGTCAAAACATCATCTTTATCTGCCTGAGCACTTTCACTTTGTAGTTGAGTGAAACTGGGATTCTTGCCAAGCGCTTAGCAAAGCTTTTGCTGAGGGAGAGTGATTGGCGGACGTAACAAAAGTGCAGCCGATCGTGTGCCTCTGGTTCTTCAGAGGAAGAAGTTTAAAGCTTAAAAATCGACCGATAAACCCTTTCTGGGCAGCCACTATGGCCCTAGAAAGAATCGCGGAGTATTGGATAACACAGTTCCTGATAAGACAAAACCTACTCAGCAGTTTCCAAAATTGGTTCACAACAAAACGTTCCTGTGTCACATGCCAATTGCAATTCCTCAATCATGTTACAGCAACCCTAGATGACAGCATGGCTACCACCATCATCCTTCTGGATACACAAAAGCGTTTGACTGTCTACCGCATGAACCATTGTTGGCTGTGCTTGAATCCAATGGAACCAACAACTCTCTATTGATGGTTCGAAACATATCTGAAAGACCAAAAACAAAGGGCACAGAATGGTCAATATTGTTCTACTTCTAGAAATGTTACCAGTGGTGTAGTTCAGGGCAGAGTATTGGGTTCATTGCTTTCCCACATTTACATAAACGATATATGTGATTACATTAGACACGGGTGCCCGTTTTTATTCGCGGAAGACTGGTGTACTCATTTTTACCTGACCACCTGGAACTATACCTTAAAAATATACGCGAAGACCTATCATCTTTAAACAAATGGAGTGAAAGCAGGTCAATGAGGTTTTCGGCAGACCAATTCCAGGTACTTTACCATAGAGGTAATATACCAGAAGGATCCACCACTCATACTGGTGCCCCCAACATAACTGCGTACACTGTTTGAAACCTGGAAATTCGGTACACCAACAGCTTCAACTTCTTCGAACACATACCACATCAAGTACTGAATGCTAAGCAACTAACAAGCTACATCACTAGGTCATTCGCACTATCTCAAACACAACATACTCTAGAGTACTGCACCATTATACTTAGACGCTGAAGAAAAATTTACGGTATTCCTTTGAAGAACGACCAGCGCTCAAGTACCAAAATGCCTATGAGGCACTCATCAAAGCTTACCTATAATGAATGATGTTCTTACCTCCAGTTCGATTAACTCCGACTTCGAGCAATCTCACTCTTCTCTACAGTATAACATACACACTACTATTCTCAAGCAGTATGATCGTCGCTTTACATAATGGTTCACCCATTCACTCGTAATGAGAAATACCCGCCTAAATTTCTCCTTAGTGAGGTACGCCTATTAGTGAAATAGACTGCCATTGCATCCAATAATAATAATAATAGTAATAATAATAATAATAATAATGTGTCAGCTGTACGTCGTAACGGTGCTTCGCTGCCGCGCGACCACCACCAGTCGCGCGTGGGCTGAGTATAGCTCGAGGACACCCATCCCTACGCGGATTCGAATCGGTGACCTTATGGTTGTAAAGCAAACGTGCAGACCACTCCGTCGTTGCATCTAAAGATCAGTGAGAGCCTATCCGCTCTTAGATCTCATTTAAAAACACTTCTTACCTCGCCAAATGGGGACAAACTTCTCGACCTTCAGCAATCTGACGGCGTAATCATGGAATCCGGCCCGAAAAACATGACAATATTAGCTGCCGATTAATGTTATATAGTAGATATCCAAGGAAATATTACGAGACTGTTCCATACTGGATGCAGTTCATAAATGAAATGATGACAAAACTCGCTTTATAAATGATTGTTTCACAAAAAGGACGTATCCCGCCCATCGGAAAATATACCAATTTATGTAGTTATTTATTAACACAACGTGCAAACAACTCACTCACCATGTAGTTGTCATTCAGCCTGCTTTCGAAAGGGTCATCCCTTATTTCCAATATGAAACGCTGAATATGTACGAGAGATAAGGAAAGTGCAGTGGTGAACAAAACAAGAACCGGTGAAATAGGGATATGATGTTTAGATGATTCTAGTATACGTACTTTTATGTAGATAAGATAATCAGGCAGAAGGCGCATGCAAGTGGAAAGTGGCTGAGTGCTGTTAGAGCAAGTCCTGGGAGTTGAGGAAAGCGATGTAGGTTTGGAACATGGCTTCTCGGTAAGCACAGAAAACATAATTTCAGAGTCAGACAACGTGTAAGGCTGATGGGTGGATGCCGAAGATGCACCCAACACATCACAGATGGCATCCCGACTATGTAGCCGCTGCAAAACTTGTATCATCGATGTGGTCTAGTAAATGGAAGAGAAAAGCAAAGCACGTGTTGTGCAAGTATCGCGTTAATCGTAAAAAATTGATATCACTTAGAGGTCAATGATTAATGTTCAAACAGAACGTGACCCAATCGAAATAGTTAAACAGGAAGTGAGGCATGCAGTGGGGGTGCCAACAGAGAGATATGCAATTGCGTAGCAGCCACATAGTACAATGAACCGCAACAAAAGTAAAGACCAAGGTGGGTCGCTGTAACGGGCGGAAGCAACAGATAATTCCATGCGAGATTGTATGTGAGGAATAAACAATAAACAGTACGAGTAATGCTGATTAATATAAATATAAAATCCGCTTCGCCAACCATTGGTCTGGTGATGAATGGTAATTGGATAGGCGTCTCGCAGACAAGTTTTAAAACAGGGCACAACGTCCCCTGATGTATGATGAACTGGATAACAAAATCATAGGGCGATATATTTCGATCATGGCAGATAACCACATCAAAAGTGCGACGGTGATAAGCAATACCAGTGGTAAAAGATTTAATGCAGAAAAATAAAAAAGGAACAAAACCTCTGCATTAGGACATCATGTGTGGTGCGTTGGATGTTGGTGTAGGGTAGAGAGTAACACTAGAACCATGATAGAAGCCGCATAGATCTGCAAAATAACAGCTGAATGTTGGTGTACTCAAATGAACTGACATCTAGGTAAGGGAGCTGTGTGAAGCGGATGCGCAAATCAAAGATCGACTATGGGGGTTGCGTTTACAACATTGGTAAGATCATTATAATGAGCCAGTGCTAATCCATTGAAAGAGACTATCCGTTTTAGAACAGTTAAATGCACTAAAAATAGTTTGCCGATTGATTACTTCGATTTTGGACCATTTCGATGGAAACCACTCGCATTTGAATAAGCAGCCTCCATAACCTCGATGGCATAGAACCGGTTTCCACTAAACCAAAAAGATACCACAAAATGCGCCAGAGGGAAGACAGCATGAGAAATGCGCACGGATGATCAGGATAGTCAACCGGTTTTAAGAGTACTGATGACGAAAAGAAACCGATCGTGAAACGAATTGGATGCGAAGTCATACAATATATGATGTGCAGCATAAAATAGCACGCAATTTTGTGGATGGCTATCAAAGTCTTGTACTTGTTCTGTTTAAAAATAGCCCCATAAAATGAGCAGTGACGGGAACTTGAGGGCAACATATTACCCAATGATAGAGTTAACCAAATATGAAAAATACATGGTGATGGAACATTGACGCTGTACTAACTTGCGTATACACTTCCCGAAATAGATAACGATAAGGAAATTCGATGCAACAGAGGTCGGCGGTCCATTCACTGGTAGAAAAAAAAGAATGAAAACAAAGGGAAACGATAGTAAACTTTAACTATATGAAGAAAGTATGTGGATAAAAGAATATCGTAAAAATTACGAAACATGATAAGTAGGACAATTCGAGTCAAAGATATGCAGCAAATTGTAAAGATGAATTTATCGAAGACTTCAACAACGCTGAAGGAGATAGAGAGGATTTAAGAAACTTCCTAGTAATTAATCAGCAGAGGATCAGACCCGGTGGAAACACTGGCAAAGGTGAAAATCAAAGACGCAGTACCATCGGAATTAAACTCGGTTATTGTCGCGAACGTGGGTGCAGCTGTTAACTGCCATCGTGCCTACGTCTCTCTCTGAGCGTTTGTTGCAGCTGCATGCTCTGCTAGTATCTGCCTACTCTTTGCAAGCTAAATCTGGCAACTTGAAATATACCATCATAAATACCATTAAGAATGACCAGTTAAGTAAACGTTATGACTCAGTTAACAATAAATGGTATGTCTGACGTTGTAATATGACTACCCGCTAGGTCCATCAGTTGAAGTTGCGCCCTGGTAGATCACATATATGGACCGTCACACATGTTAATAAACAAATGTGAGCATAGGTATCGCGTAAGCGCCTCAATCGCACATTTTCGTTCCGCAAGAACCTTTAGTTAAGCGGACGAGGTGCATTGCCTTCATTTGGGCCATACAAGGGTCGTTCAAAACTTTCGTGAAATGACATACTTTTAACAATTATCTTTACGAGTTTTAGTAAACAAGTTAATTGATTCCGATTAAACAAGTAAGCTTTTATCCTCCACGTTGCGAGATACGTCTATAACGGCATGATCAGGAAAATGGAAACCAGATCGGACAATGACATTTGGAAGGAGAATAAAGGCATAATAAAGGGTTGAGTGAAGTGAAATGGTGTTAGCTGGACTAGACGTAAAATCCCAAAAGCAGCACGTAATTGCTTCGTGAATTATACGCATCAGTTAGGCATCAGTGTGTGAAAATGGAGGGTGCTGACAAGTTTGAGGGAAGTGCGGTTTTGAAGTAGTGGATATTGATATATCATGATATATCAGTAACATTATGAGATAATAATTTTGCATTTGAGATTTAAATAGAGTAGGGAGTAACGTAAAGATGCTGAACGTTGAGTGGCAATCAACCCAAAAGAACGTTGAAAACAGGACCAAAAAATAAGTAAAACAATGGGCAGTTCAGCTGGCAAGTTGGATTCTATATTGACGGCTAAGTTAGTGTCAAGAAAAATTAGTGCGCGATGGGTGCCACGAATGCTAACAGCTCAGCAGAAGGTACCCAGAGTTAACAGACTAATATGAGTTACCATCAATAAGATACGATAAATGTCTGGTCTCTTATGGTGAGCATGAACGAAAATTGGATTTAACGCCTTGATATTGAGACAAAAACGCAAAGCACAGTTTAGCATCATCTAAGAAAGTCCGTTTTACACACACGGCTGCCAGTGACCTTGCCACAATTTTCTGGAGTGCCGAAAGGATGCTTTTGATTGATTATCTGGATTAAAATGCCACAAAAACTGGTCAATATTGTACAGGCTAAAACCAAACACTTCGGAAAGCCAATATGGTAAAAAGGTGAAGCAAATTTAGGAGGTGCATTCTGCTTCTTCAAGAAAACGCTCCAAGCCAAACCTCGTAGGTTGCAATGAAAGCGATTTGTGAGGCAGGATTAAGATGGAGTGAACATCCACCATACTCCCCATACCATGCTCCTAGTGACATGAAAGAAATGAATCATCTTGGGTCGAAAGCAGCAGCGGTGCAAGCATCACTGTGTCGGTGCATACTGCTGTAATTTCATAAAAGCTGCGGCCCACATCTCGATTATTACCAGTCTGTGGTTAAGAGCATTGAGCTACGGGGAAAGGAAACTACCAATGGGATTAAGTAACTATATATGATAGCACCGTTCAGTACCCTAAGGCTTGCACGTTACTGCAGTGTAAAGAACAAAATACTCACTCTCACCGAGTGACAAACCAACCAAACCTAACACGCCAATTAACTTATCGCATTATAAGCAGCTTGGTCGGCGTACTGATAACAAGGGAATAGTAGAGGGGGGTTCGAATGGTAAAAGTAGAAATTCACCATATCCAGAATCAATCAAAGGGCCATCTACATGTCCGAAAAATCGCGGTACGCCCGTTTAAACATTTCACGAATCGTTATAACGATGTACATCATAAATGCACTAACCTAACCATCCTGAAAAAGGCAATAAACCCCGAAGGGAAGTAGCACTGACAAGGGAATTTCATCTGCTAAATGAGATGATGGGCTGTAGGACTTCAGGTGTGCGCGACTGATGGTGACGCATACGTCTAATGCACCTGAAGTTCGGACATACGGAACCGCTGCAAGAGAAGAGGGCGTGAAGGTTAATAAACCAATCTATCAGATGCAGGATAAGATGGTGGAAAGCACCGGCGGGTTTTTTGAACTGGGAGCTAAGTTCATCGAAAATTTAAAAGTGAACTTGTCTTCAACTTTCTCGCGGAAATGAACTACGTCAGATGACACTGGAAGACCCCCCTATGTTACTTACAATATGTATTGTGACCATTGATAACGATGACAATGTGGATGCTAATAATAAGCAGCTCCACTCAACCGCGCGGGAGACTCCGCTCATACCATATTGGACCACTACATGCGTCGTCAGCTGGACATTACACAACATACACAGTTTAAGAACGAGCTGTTTAAGCCTAATAGGACCACTCCACAAAGGTTACTTCTTGAGGCTGCAACGAAGACAGAAAGCAGAGGCAGCAAGCAACAAAAAAACCTTACGCGGCTACACAGGAAGCACTCGATGAAGAAATCAACTGCGTTGGCGTGTCCCTTGACTTTGCGAACATCGAGTGCTCTTGATGTCAGTACCATAAAAACGCCCAAACCACAGACCATGGAAGTAAAAACCGTCACAAGAGCTACGATCAGAGATCGCCCCAAACCGAACGTTTTATGCGCAGGACCGCTAAATAGCCCTCGTCAAGAAGAACGAGTGTAGATAAGACGTAAGATCACAAGATCCAACATCGGAATCAATAACCAACGCAAGGATGGACAAAGGGGAAGTAAAGTATTATGATGTCACTGGCACAGCCAACTGCAACACACACTGCGTGAGGAAGAGGTGTCTTGAGAAAGTGGCAGGCGTAGGCGAACAGATAACAGATAAAAAATCGATAACCTAATTAACCGATCACGTGAAAGAACACAGGTAGAAGCTAGCGAAACTGTCCAGCAGGGAACGACAATCACGCGTGAGTCCATCTAACCTAGAAAAGATGTTGTCACCCATCGCGCACTTCACTGACCGGTGTCTAACAAAAGGCAACAAAATCGTCTAATTCATATAATGCATCGTATAAAAAACTCCAACACCGCAACACCACACTGGATCCCAAGCAGACAGATACCAGGGAAAAGTATCTCCTGGATACTCCTGCTTTTCATCCACCACTTTACAGAATTGATCGAAACAGATATAACAGCAGGAACGAGTTGATAAGGCCGCCTCCTACGTCCCCTCACACACATGCGCAGCTACTCTTAACCAAGCATTCTCCTCCGACCCCTTTTTAGGGAAAGCAGGGATGGCTCCGTAGCCATTCCGAACGACCCTTCAGACGGACGCCCACTATATGCTACCAAGCTTACTGCAATTCCTTCAGATGACAAGACTGGCACAGCAGCACGCCAGTCGCAATCTGTATTCTCTGCCCCAAATAATGCTTTGTTTACAAATCGGCCAGGGTTCCCAAGTGATAAATTGTCTTCACCGCCGAAGTTATTATAGGTAGACTCGCATGCAACACATATGTACGAAGCTCCATTTCCCCCAGAACACTACCTAAGTTGTTCAAATAATTCGGATTTAAACATCATAAAGCTGAAGTCCATTGAGGAGCTCAAAGCATTTCTATCAGAAGATGGCCCCGCACAAATAAATAACTTACCTCTTCAACCTCAATCTAGGCGTTTTGCTGATCAGCGCAGGCCTCATCAAAAACAAAATCCATTTTGTATGCCCCCTTATTTTCTTCCAAGGTTAGCAAATCATACTCGTTACCGAGGCGTGGCTAGTGAAAGACACTCCTAAGTTTCACTACTACGTAGTAGAATACGATGAATTTATAGGGTGCCTTAAGTCTAGACTATGTGGTGGTTGCACCATCTAGGTACACGATTCATTGCGCGTTTCATCAGTGCATAAGTGCCTTCACCACTCCGTTTTTATAAATGCGCAGATGGATAATAATCTTTTACTCGAAGGGCGCGTATACACGCAGAAACTAATGCCTTGAAAGAACTGTTCTGTTACGTTGTGAATCAATCAGCCAACTACAAAACGATAGGTGAAGATTTCAACATGCCAGATGGATGGACACAGTATGTTACAATACCCACTAGAAAGAACAATATATTAGATCTGATATTTACCACTGGCCTAATATCTGATTTCGCTGACGTTCTGGTACACTTTGCTGTTAGTGATCACAATATGGTCTCCCTTTTATTCAATAATAACGCCCGAATCACAATAAGGACTGTGCCCAAGTTACAAATGCTCTCAAGGCACTGTGCATCAGCTGACTGGGGCTCACTTGCCAACTTACTCAGGCATGGGTGGGACTTTTGTTTCTTGCCGACGACCCGCAAGCCGGAGCTGATGCTCTTTACAGCAAGATTATTCTCTCTCTTGACACACTGGTTTCTATCAAACACAGACACTTCCCTTCAAGTTGCGAAAAGTCGGTTACAAGAAAAATAGCTGCTAAGTTCAAAAAGCTACTTACGGCCTAACGCAAAATGAATGACCTCATAATTTGGCCACATTACTGTAGCTGGCTTATCAAACAAAACGAATCGCTGATGAAAAACAGGCCCTCAACAGACGATTTGAACACCGTAAACTGATCAACCTTTTAAAGAGCAAAACTACCAGGCGTATCCAAGGCACAAACTCGCTCGTAGAAACATAATAGACCCTAAGCAAACTAACGTTATGTTTTATCAGTAGTTCTGCCCTTCATTCAACGTGAATACTGAACCCATATACATGGTCTTGCCACGAGTCAGTCGATTAACTCAATTGTATCCGATTTGAGCTCCACGATATACACAAACCTATCAGGTGCATAAAATTACCTTAGTTCGGAGGTCTTGACAGCTGGGCGAAGATGACATCCCCTGCTAGTACTGAGTATATTCAATCTATGCATGTATTCCGGCACCGTGACATCTCAGCGGGAAGAAGCCGCGACATAAAGCAGGCTCCATGTTCCAGCCTAAAAATCATCACCCAATAAGCCACACATCTATCAAAAATAATGAAGCGACATCTCAAAGCTAAAACTCGAATTACGAATGTCTCCAAAGTTAATAAACAACATACTATACGGTTTCTGGAATAATCGGTCTTACATAAGATGTCAAAACGAATTTCTAAATCATGCAAGCGCATCGCATGATCATGTCATGTCGGCAATGCTAATTTACTTCGACATGCACAACGCGTTCGATCGGTTGCCTAAATAAAAACTAATAGCTAAAATGAGGTCCTACGGGATTCCTGAACTCCTGCTTTAATGGTTCAAGTCATACCTTACAAATCGAACACAGGTGGTACAAATTCAAGAACACAAATCTAAGCGTACACATTTCCCTAGCGGCGTGATATAAGTAAGTGTCATTAAAAAGGTATAACCGAAGATTAGTAGT